AGCCACTGCGAGCGACGTCCAGCACACGGAGGGAGATCGAAGGAGTGCTTTGGGCACTCCAAACATACTCCAGCAAGATCACGCACAAACATGTTCTTGTGCGGGTGGAGAATCAGGGCGTCTTCTTCATCCTTCGCAAAGGTGGCTCGCGCAGCCCCGACCTTACCACGGCCTGCCAAGGCATCATTCGGACATGCATGGAGCACGGCACGCGTCTAATCATCGAATGGATCCCACGCGAGCTAAACTCACACGCCGATGAGCTCTCAAAAGCAGTCGATCATGACGACTACTCGTTGAAGACGCCATGGTTCCGCATCTTAGAACGACGTTGGGGTCCCCATTCCATCGACCTATTTGCAAACTCCCGCAACTCTCAGCTGCCACGCTTCTGCACGAAAATTCCTCATCCACAAGCCACCGCAGTAGATGCATTCTCGCTCGCATGGACATCAGAAAATAGCTTTGCTTTCCCCCCGCCCCATTTAGTACCGGCCGTCCTTCATCACGCACAGCGCACCCATGCGTCGCTCACACTGATCATCCCACATTGGCCGGGTGCAAACTGGTGGCCACTCCTATAACCTTCCCCACGCAACTGGGCACCGTACATCCACGCGCACATTCCTTTGACACACGGCAGCCAATGTCTGGCAGTTGGAACACATTCCGCTGCTTTTTCAGGCACTGGATTACCACACAGCCCAATAATTGCACTTCGGGTGGTTTTTGACTAATTGAGAGTGTACGCGCCTTGTGTCCAGATCTGCTCCCAAAGCTACACAACCAACTCATCAACATGCTCACACAATCGCGAGCTAATTCAACGATCCGTACATACGAACCGTACTGGGCCAAGTTTCGGGCTTTCTGCACAAAGGTGGATCTCCCATTTCTTCCCGCATCCGACATGGCCCTCGCGCTATACTTGGTACATGCAATCCAACGAAGAGCAACCTTGTCTGTAGTGCAGCTCACGTGCTCGGCAGTCAGCTTCGCCCATCGCATGACTGGAAGCAAATGCCCGACTGTCGGACCGTTTACCACTCAAGTGCGGGACTACGCGAAACAACACTGCCCTCGCCCTAGTCGAATGAAGGAGCCCGTATCAATCCAACAAGTTCGGGACATGTCCGCGAACTACTTGCAGTCGGACAATCCTGCTGAATTTCAGAAGGGGTTGATCCCTATCCTCATGTACTCCGGATTTTTGCGATACTCCGACCTGGTGGCCATCCAGTGGCAAGACATCCAATTCGACGACGAAGTCATGTGGATCCTCATCCCACGCTCAAAAACGGACCAGGCCGGTCGTGGAACTTGGATTCCCATCGCAGCAACGACGGACCCCTGTTGCCCCGTGCGCTGCACCCAACGCTTCCTTCAACTCGCTGGCTATGGCCCGCATTCAGAGGGGTCGCTGATTCACGTTTTGTCAGAATGTTATCTTATGCTCTAGCCTGTAGTGGGGTGCTCTATAGCGAGTACAACCCTTCTAGGGTTTGCTATTTGTATCCTCATTCTTGCTAGTGCAATCCTCTCTTCTTCTCTTCTTTCTTCTAAACTTTAAACATGCTATCAGAGCAGGTCGATCCCCTTGGATCGATCCTGTGGGTGGGCTTACCACCTCCTAGCTTCCGCTGCAACTCCTACCACTACAATCGGTGCCGCACGCCCCGTGGCGTGTGGCAGTTTTCTTCCCGCCGTGCGCCCCGAGGCGCGCGGCGGTTTTCTTCCCGCCGTGCGCCCCGAGGCGCGCGGCGGTTTTCTGCCCGCCGTGCGCCCCGAGGCGCGCGGCGGTTCTCTGCCCGCTGTGCGCCCCGAGGCGCGCGGCGGGCTTCGGCCCCGTCAACCGTCGCGTCGCCCTCGGGAGGCGCCGCGACGGGCGACGGGGACCCCTTCGTCGCCCCCCGTCGCCCGTCGTGGCCTGCGCGCGGCCCGTACAGGCAGCGCGCGACCCGTACGGGCTGCGCCAGGCCAGCGCGCGACCCGTACGGGCTGCGCCAGGCCCGCGCGCGACCCGTACGGGCTGCGCCAGGCCCGCGCGCCACCCGTACGGGCTGCGCCAGGCCCGCGCGCGGCCCGTACGGGCGGCGCCAGGCCCGCGCGCGGCTCAGGCCGCCTACGCGCGGTTCGGGCGACCCTACCAGGCCCGTGGTGGGCCCGCTCCTTGCTGCCCCTGCCCTCCCTACTGTCCCCCAGCGCTTCTACTCGTGCCCCACCCCTCCTACTCCCCATTCTCCTGTATTAGGGTTTGGGGGTGCGGGGTATGGGGGTGCACCCACTGTGTACTGTTCCCTGCTCCTCCTCCTCCTCCGTCTCCCTGTGCTGCAGCTGCCGCTGAGGGGGGGTGGACGTGTTGGAGCCGGTGGAGAGGTACTAAGGGGGGGTGAAGGGGGAGTGGAGCTAGCGGTGTAGCAGCGGGTATGTGCCAGGGGGGAGTGGGATAGTTTGGGGAAGCTGAATGGAGGTTGCCGTCGTGTCGCCAGCAGCACCTGTATTCCGGGGACTTCGTCCGGTAGCCCAGTCGTAGCCAGCTGTGCCAGCCGCCCGTGGGTCCGTTGCTCGTCTGCCGCTACTTTAGCCGCGGGGCCTGTTACTCCTGTATTCCGGGGACTTCGTCCGGTAGCCGCTGTGCCAGTCTGCCTCCTGTTGCCTGTGTGTCTGCAGCTTCAGCCGTCGCCTCCTATCTCCTCTCCTCTCACTCTCTCTCCTCCTCCTCACTTGCCCGTTGTGACTACCACTAGCTTTGCTCATAATTGTGAACTTAAACTATTGCTTCTTGAACGTGTGCTCAGAATGTGTGGTGACATTGTGATCCACCCTGAGCTTGTACTCCTTTGCTTACTCTGCTGATTACACCCCACTTTGGCTATGGGGGTGTGTCAGAATATTATCTTATGCTCTAGCCTGTAGTGGGGTGCTCTATAGCGAGTACAACCCTTCTAGGGTTTGCTATTTGTATCCTCATTCTTGCTAGTGCAATCCTCTCTTCTTCTCTTCTTTCTTCTAAACTTTAACACGTTTTTGGTCACGCTTCAGCCAACAAGGGTCAGGCCAAGCCACCCTCGTACACAACGATCCGGAACTGGTGTAAAGAAGCATTCGCAAAGGTTGGACTTGGGGAGCAGCAGCTCGGCACGCACTCCTTCCGAAAGGGCGCGGCAACCGTAGCAGCCAACATCAGCGTGCCGGACAGGATCTTCAAAAAGATGGGCAGGTGGCGAAGTGACACAGCCAAAGAGATGTACGTCACACCACACGTCGGACATCTTATCAAGGCATCCCGCGACCTACAGGACCCGACACACGCACTGCCCCCAGAACAGCACGCAGAGGCACTCTTACGCAACCGGAAGCCACCGCTGCCCATGTCTCAGAGGCCCCAGTTGCAATGAGAACGATGCCAAATTATAAGGACAAGAAAGCAAGCTTTCTCAATATTATAATTTTTAAACACATTGATGTTTTTCAAAAATGTGTATTGTGAAAGCGAAGCTGCCTGTACCGAATATTTGGCAGCGTCGAAGCGCGCTAAACGCCCTTCTCCAGCTACAAAAACAGTGGGTTGGAGTTCATTCCCTCCACCCACGTTTCTCGTTTTCCAACGGCTCAATCAACATCCCCACCACCCACCCCGGACCAACTACAAGACCACAGCTGCTTGGACGGACGACTCCATAGCTAGTAATATTTGCATGTACTAGCATGTGTTTAAGAACGATGCATATGTTGTAATAAGCCAGTTGCAATGAGAACGATGCTTAGTTGCAATGAGAACGATGCCAAATTATAAGGACAAGAAAGCAAGCTTTCTCAATTTCTACTTTTAATTGTTTTTGCTGTTGTGGTTCGATACAGTGCCGACTCGGTTAACTGCTCAGTAACGAGTCAGTTATGTGTCCTTGCTGTCGCACTGTACTTTTCGACAAGTCAAAGGTCAGCGACCTTTGACCTTCGCATAACCTCCAGCGGTTGCTTTTGTTGACTCGTGTAGTCGGCTCCGTTTCGTGTCGACACTTCGATACTTGAGAAGCGTTTAAGTTACTTGTTTCCAACAATAGCAAGGGAAGGTGGCCAAGGGAGGTACACCACCAAATAGAGAGAAATCTACATTGATACTACACAAGCTCTGTTGTATGCAGTTATATAAAGAATACAATTCTTGACAGTATTATGGACGGATTCACAAGAGGGTCATGATAATGGGAAGGGTGCGCAAGTGAACATGAAAGCGCAGAAAAACGATGCGACAGCTCAAAGGTCTGTTTTATCAAAACTTCCACATTACAATACAGGAACACAGCATTGCAGTAGGCTATTTATTCCAATTGGCCGTGCTCTAAGACAGACCCAACAACTTACTCACCCTCATATTGAGACCATGCCTAAGAGAGCGTTCTATCGCACATGCATCACGACCACGCACAAGGCCATCTTGAAAACTCTAATAACGAATCCCCGCAAACCCTGTACAGCAGTGTGTAGTAAAAACTCGCATTGCAAGTTTCAACTTCCAACGACCATCACCTCCCCAACCGCTTGCTAGTAAATCCGCGACCAGCCATAATCCTTCAACAAGTAGTTCTTCCGAAACTCATTGCTGCGCGCAATTGCCTCCGCGCTGGGCTTGCGCGCCCATGGGGCCTTCTTTCCGCGCAGGCTGTTGCACCACGGGGTGCCCGTCTGTCCCGGCGCCTTGCACGTGTAGTGCAGGTCGAAGCGGCGGAACATGACTTCCGTAGGCCCGTTGCTCCAGTTGGGCTTTAATTTGCTCCACGCAGAAGCGTCCCAAATGGAGCCCTGGAGTGTTAGGGTGGGGGGAGGAGGAAGAGGAGGAAGGGATAATGAGCTTCGATGCCAGCCACGAGCTAAAAACCCATTTCATATCCAAAACGGTTTATGGTATACGAAAGCTGGAAATCGAGGATAGGTCTTTTAGAATGACGGGTCCCTTACAGCTAAGAAGCTTCAAAACATGCTAGGGAAGTACGACGTACCTCGAACTTGACGTTCTGGGACGGGAAGGGGCGGCCGCTCTCCTTATAGTGGATGCGGATGGGGGTGTCATCGACGGCCCACATGACGTAATCCGGCGAGTAGACGATGGTGTACGTGTGAAACGCGGCGGACGGATCGAAGGGGAACTTGTACTGCTGCAGATACACCTGCCCGCCCGTGATCAGATTCGTGTGCAGAATAATATCCCTGGGGGTATTTCCCCCGATAAATTCCAGGTCGATCTCGTCGTGCAAGTCGGTGTATTTTGGGCCGTTACCCGAAATAAGGTAGATACAGGGGATTAAACCGCCGGAATAACCCGAAGGGAGCTTCATGTTGACTTTGAAGATTCCGTAGCCGAAGTATCCCTTGGAGGTGAACTCTGTCGCATTGGGGGGAGGGGAGGGGAGGGGAGGGGAGGCGAGGAGGGGAGGCGAGGAGGGGAGGCGGGGAGGGGGAACAGATTGTGAGGAGAACAGGGCAAGGGATCACTCAAGGAGATGTGAGATGAAAAAGGGAAAAGGGTGCGGGGATTGGGTTGTGGGGAAAGGGGGAAGACATGACAAGGGGGAAGATGGGGGCAATGAGAGGGTATTAAAATCAAGTACAACTGCATAATAACACTAAGAATGATTTTGATAATGATGCGCACTACCTGGGATTTTTTTAGGCGCCCCAAACAAACATCTCAATGGGCCGGCCGTAACGCGCTCTCTTCCCGCAATGCGCTCACTCTCTCTCTCCCCTCCCCCCCCCCCCCCCCCTCCCCCAATCCCGTGATGCACTCACTGCGTGTGATGCTCTCATTGCCCGTGATGCTCTCACTGCCCGTGATGCTCTCACTGCCCGTAGTGCACGCGCCGCCCCTTTTGCCCGTTATGCACTTACTGCCCATCTTATCCCAGTAGGCGGAGAGCTTCACGGAGCCGTCGTTCTGGCGAGAGCAGCCGCCGTTCCGCTTGCAGAAGTCAGGGAGAGTCATGAGATTGTCAAACGACTTGTCGTGCTTCGCTGCTGCGGCCGCGGCGCACGCGAGCAGGGCGACCAGAAACAGGAGGCGGCTCCGAACCGTCGCCATGGCTCTCAGGAAAAAGAGTTGCAACCAAGAATGTCGGGAGTATGGGATAGTACAGCTTACTACGTTATTTCTACTTAATATAGTTTCACCAACTAGATTATGGTTCCCTCTGCGAACCATGCTAAAGCGTCGCAGCCGGAAAGTCAGAAATTACCAGATTCAGGTACGTCACGGTTTTCTTTCTCTAATCTGAAATATATACGGAAGTTAGCGCATAGGGCGGAAGAATATGGGGAGCAAATAGGCCGGAACAAAAACTTGCTAGCATTATGAAATGTGAGAAAGCGAGGGCTACTATTTCAATGGATTAGTTGGCCCCGCTTTTGGACGCTACTATCACCGCGCCTCGTGTAGAACAAGGTGGGGAGGAGGGTCGGTGGCAGACAGGGGGGGAAGAATGTTTGAGTTGCGCAACAAGGTGGAGAAGGGGGGGATTCTAGTTGCGCTCGTTGTGTCCCAAATGCACCCCACCTTCACCCGGCAGCACCTTCGCAATCACAGACCTGCAGCCACATTCGACTGCGCCGCTTCCCTGAATTTCACGCGTCGCCAGCAAAGGAAAACATGGTTGCATGCAGCCAAAGTACACTTCACAGTCAAGTCAAGGAACGGTTACGAAACCACATTAACTAGAACTATTGGTCACCAAATTTTAGGACGCGTCACCTCTAGCGATTTTGCACGATCGATCCTGCACAGGATCGTTTTTTCACGGATTTGAAAACAGTTATAAATATTATTGAAGTAACAAGCATGTCTAAAAAAGAGAACAATATCGAAAATATTAAAAAAATATCATTTTTGTATGATATTTTGCGCGAATTTGCAAGAGGTGACGTGTGTTGGGCTGAGAAGAAGCCCTTAGGATCTTTCAAGGCTAGTGTTGTAATTGCGGAAGCGTTTTAATATCAGAGTTACTGAACCACCTTGTACTAGTGTGTGAGAACAAGATAAGTTGATAATAGCAGAGAAATACAAGGCTTTTATATGATTACAAAGGAATATGAAAAGTTATACTTCAACTGTTTTTGCTGTTGCGGTTCGATACAGTGCCGACTCGGGTAACTGCTAAGTATTGAGTCAGTTATGTGTCCTTGCTGTCGCACTGTATTTTCGTCGAGTCAAAGGTCAGCGACCTTTGACCTTCACATAACCTCCAGCGGTTGCTTTTGTTGACTCGTATTGCTTCACTGTAGTCCGCTTCGTTTCGTGTCGATACTTCGATGTCAGAATCCCAACCACTAGACCATTGGGATAAAAGGGCTTGTTAAGTAGCGGGTCAGTGCGCCCATAACCCCCCAGGACAAAGAGCCTGTAACCCTTCCCTAGGATCAATCGGGGATCACCAATGGACCTCTGACACCCCCCCGCACTGGGATGCCCGAAGTGCACACACTGGGATTCGAACCCGAGACCTTCGCTCTGATAACATGTCAGAATCCCAACCACTAGACCATTGGCATAAAAGGGCTTGTTAAGTAGCGGGTCAGTGCGCACATAACCCCCCAGGACAAAGAGCCTGTAACCCTTCCCTAGGATCAATCGGGGATCACCAGTGGACCTCTGACATTCGATACTTCAGAAGCGTTTTAAGTTACTTGTTTCCAACACTCCCCTTCGCTTCTGGAGTGTCGCTGCTGATGACGTGTCCTTGTCCAGTCAGCAACATGCAGTACTCGAACTTCTGTTTTCTGAGTTTCTTGGTTAAGTAATCAGCTGCCATCTCGGATGTGGGACAGTAGGATAGCTCGAGTCTTCCCTTCTCGATTTCGTCTTTTACGAAGAAGTACCAGAGGGCGATGTGCTTCGTTCGATTCGCGCAACCCATTTTTGTTCGCTATGCGAATGGCCGATTGGTTGTCGCAGAAGAGGGAGAAGCTGGGTAACTGAGCCAATTTTGCTTCCTCCAGTAATTCGCGAAGATATAGCCCTTCCTTGGTGGCTGAGCAGAGTGCGATATATTCTGCTTCTGCTGAGGAGAGAGCGATTAGCTCTTGCTTGTTCGACTGCCATGAGATATGCCCGATAGGTTCGAGTCTGTAGATGTAGCCAGTTCGTGATCGTCTGTTGTCGGAGTCTCCAGCGTGATCGGAGTCGACATAGCCGATTAACTTAGGTGTAGTAGTTCTGGTCTTGTGGTAGGTTAGTCCAATCGTCGGAGTGCTGACAAGGTAGTGAAGTGCTCGGTCGAGTTCAAGCATGTGTTCTGCTTCAGGCTTCTTGAGGTAGGTAGCGAGTTGACTAGCTGAGTAGGATAGATCCGGTCGGCAGGTAACGGCTGCGAAGAGTAGGCAGCCTAACTTTCGTTGGTAGTCGCGAATGCCGGCGGGTTTGAGTAGAGCCGAGACTTTTCGATTTCCGTCGGTGTAGCGGTATGGCGTGGAGATGACGGTTGGAGTAAGTCCGAATCGTTTAGCGATAGTGTCAGTGTATTTTTCGGCGCTGAGGTGGATTGTGTTGTCGCCGTCTTGTGTTATACAAATGTATAAGCTATAATGTTCTGACACACCCCCATAGGCAACGTGGGGGAGAACAAGTGGTCACAAGACCAGTCAAGAAAAGCAAAGCAAGCTCAGGGTGGATCACAAAGTCACCACACAGTCCGAGCACAAGCAAAGGGCCACAAGGCCAGTTCACATGTAGAGTTATATAAAGAGAACAAACAATTGTCAAACTTATATGCTATAGTCTATCTAGGCTGTAGTGGGGTAGTTCATATAGGGTACAACACTTTTAGGTTTCCTACTTGTACCCAACTGCTTGCTAGTTCAGTCATTCATTCGTTCACTATTCTAACATGGTATTCTGAGCAGGTTCCCTCGTGGGAGCGTTTTTTTCTTAGGGCCCACCACGAAATTTTTTCCTGCCCTGCCCGAAGCGCGCCTCGCGCCCTTCCCTAGTACGGCCCGTCGAGGCCCTGCCTTCGCTGGCCCGTCGCGGCCCTGCCTTAGCCGCCCGTCGCTGCCCCGTGCCGGCCCGTCCCGGCTCGTAGCCGCCCGTCGCTGGCCCATCACCACGCGTCGCGGCCCTGCCTTAGCCGCCCACTGCGGCCCTGTCCTGCCCTTCGCCGCCCGTCGCTGGCCAGTCCCGGCCTGACCCGGCCCATCCCGGCCCGTCGCCGGCCCGTCCCGGCCCGCTGCCACTCGTCGCCGGCCCGTCGCTGGCCCATCCCAGTCGCGGCCCTGCCTTCGCCGCCCGTCGCGGCCTCTCCCCTGCAGCCGCCCGGTCGCGGCCCTGCCCTGCTGCCGCCCCAGTCGCGGCCCTGCCCTGCAGCCGCCCCTGTCGCGGCCGTGTCCTGCTGCCGCCCTTGTCGCGGCGCTGCCTTTGCCGCCCGTTGCGGCCCTGCCCTACTGCCGCCCCAGTCGCGGTCTCTGCCCTGCAGCCGCCCTGTCGTGGCCCTGCCCTACTGCCGCCCCAGTCGCGGCTCTTCCCTGCAGCCGCCCCTGTTGCGGCCCCACCCTGCTGTCCCCCCGGTCGCGGCCCTGACCTAAACCGCCAGCTGCGGTCCTGCAATACACCCGTCCCTGGCAAGCACCCGCGCCGCCCTGCCGCGCCGCGCCGCCTGCTGCTGCGCCGCACCGCCAGGAACCGCGCCGCGCGGCCCTGCCGAGCCGCGCCGCCCAGCCGAGCCGCGCCGCACTACCGAGCCGCGCCGCCCTGCCGAGCCGCGCTACCCTTCTGCTTGCACTGCTTCTGCTGCCACTGCTACTACTGATGCTACTGGTACTATGACTAGCCCTACTGTTCTCACCTTTAATGCTGAGGGGCGTGCAGTTGACTTTGACGTGTGGATTGACAACCTGCAGCTCTTTCTTCAGTGTGACTCTAGGGATGGGGTATCCCTGTTTGATCACACGCCCGGTGTCTCTACTGCACCTGCTGCCACTGTTGACAGTACAGGTGGACCACTTGTGACGCTGTTGCTCGCCTTGCTGTTCGTAGTCACCTGCCGTCTGCTGAGCGCGCGCATTTTGGCCAGTACAAGACTGCTCAGTCTTTTTACGACGCCGTCGTAGCGCGCTACTCCTCATCTGGCACTGCTGCCCTCAGCTGCCTCATGTTGCCGTACCTTTTCCCTGACCTTGCCGCCTTTGCCACAGTCGGTGACCTCATTACCCACCTCCGCACTAGTGACGCCCGCTACCGCGCTGCGCTTCCCACTGAGTTCTGTGCCAAGAACCCCCCCCCCATGTACATCACCCTTTACTACCTAGTCACCCGCCTCCCTGACTCCCTTGCTTCAGTTAGGGACCACTTTCTCTCCCTTTGCCCCACCGAGCTCACTGTCGACCTGCTGGAGGAGC